CTAAACCGAACTTTTCTATACTTTTATCTTATTAATCTAAGAGCCTGTGGCCGCCAGACCTACGTTACTTTATAAAAGTTAAAAATTTCTCAATGCATACTCCTAACACAAGTAGACGCGATGGTCAACTGTGTACTTTAGATAATGGTGGCTTTGACTGGTAACATCTACCAAATGTGTTAAAAGTACTGGCTAAATTACCTCAAGTTATAAAGCGTAATTTTTTTACAATTTTCTTCTTTGTAGAATTTCAGATCATGCCATCCGTTCCAAGACAGTTATCATGGTGACAACCCCTAGCCAGACAAACGTAAATGTTAGCAATATTGTTAGTTTTATATCTAAAAACGTTCTACCAAAATTATTGTTACGTAAAGTAATTACTGTTTGAATGCGTCAATAAGTACTGGTTTCTAATATTTTTAATGACATTTTATAACAGTTAGAATCTAAGATAAAAATTGTAATAAAAAATAAAGTTAAAAAAATGATTTTAATAGCTATTTTGTTCAAAATAAAAATAAATAAAAAAAATAGCTATTAAAACTATTTTTTAATCTCATTTTTATTGTAATATTCATCTTAGATTCTAATTGTTATTAAGTGCTAATAGAAACCAGGACTATTTCAGATGCAATCAAACTGTAATTATTTTCAGTTAAGCTATGTAACTAAGGTTTTCGCTAGAACGTTTTTAGGTATAAAACTAATTAGTTATAAAAATAATATTGCTAGCATATGCTTGTCTTGCTAGAAGTTAGAACTGTAGAAAGTTTCTTGCTAATGACTAAACATCTTATAATAGTTAACCAAGTAAGTTGGACCTTTATTCTATAACGTAATTACCCCTTTAAAGCCCCGTGTAGCAGATCTGCTACATATTTTTTTTTTTGCCTGGCATTTGAGTATGGCTAATCTATTGATGTCAAAATTGCCTATTGTAGCATGTGTTATAGTTAATATATGTAATGAATGTTTGTTTTTTAATATTAAAAAGGTTAAAAAAAGTTTTCGGAAGTGTTTATTTTAGTTTTTATAGTTTTAAATGAATGAAAATGCTTGCTTATCTTGTATGTAGCATATATGCTACAATAGGTTATTTTATGCATATTATTAATATGGATAATATTATATAAAATAATATATGGTTCATATTACTATAAAAGGTTCATATTATTAATCTTTTTTTTAACTTATAATAATTTTTAGCTGTATAAAAACAAAAATTATAACATAGAAGAAGCTCTTGCTTTTTTTCTTGATGGGGAGAGTGACTTTGAAGACTTAAATCAGATTGAGATTCTTTGAAGACTTGAATCAGATTCAGATGATGAGCCTGAAAATGTCAATAAGACTGTAGATAATGTTGATTATTGTGATGCAGGACCTCTGGACCAGCGATCACATATCACAATAATCAACATTATCTACAGTCTTATTGACATTTTCAGGCTCATCATCTGAATCTGATTCAAGTCTTCAAAGAATCTCAATCTGATTTAAGTCTTCAAAGTCACTCTCCCCATCAAGAAAAAAAGCAAGAGCTTCTTCTATGTTATAATTTTTGTTTTTATACAGCTAAAAATTATTATAAGTTAAAAAAAAGATTAATAATATGAACCTTTTATAGTAATATGAACCATATATTATTTTATATAATATTATCCATATTAATAATATGCATAAAATAACCTATTGTAGCATATATGCTACATACAAGATAAGCAAGCATTTTCATTCATTTAAAACTATAAAAACTAAAATAAACACTTCCGAAAACTTTTTTTAACCTTTTTAATATTAAAAAACAAACATTCATTACATATATTAACTATAACACATGCTACAATAGGCAATTTTGACATCAATAGATTAGCCATACTCAAATGCCAGGCAAAAAAAAAAATATGTAGCAGATCTGCTACACGGGGCTTTAAAGGGGTAATTACGTTATAGAATAAAGGTCCAACTTACTTGGTTAACTATTATAAGATGTTTAGTCATTAGCAAGAAACTTTCTACAGTTCTAACTTCTAGCAAGACAAGCATATGCTAGCAATATTATTTTTATAACTAATTAGTTTTATACCTAAAAACGTTCTAGCGAAAACCTTAGTTACATAGCTTAACTGAAAATAATTACAGTTTGATTGCATCTGAAATAGTCCTGGTTTCTATTAGCACTTAATAACAATTAGAATCTAAGATGAATATTACAATAAAAATGAGATTAAAAAATAGTTTTAATAGCTATTTTTTTTATTTATTTTTATTTTGAACAAAATAGCTATTAAAATCATTTTTTTAACTTTATTTTTTATTACAATTTTTATCTTAGATTCTAACTGTTATAAAATGTCATTAAAAATATTAGAAACCAGTACTTATTGACGCATTCAAACAGTAATTACTTTACGTAACAATAATTTTGGTAGAACGTTTTTAGATATAAAACTAACAATATTGCTAACATTTACGTTTGTCTGGCTAGGGGTTGTCACCATGATAACTGTCTTGGAACGGATGGCATGATCTGAAATTCTACAAAGAAGAAAATTGTAAAAAAATTACGCTTTATAACTTGAGGTAATTTAGCCAGTACTTTTAACACATTTGGTAGATGTTACCAGTCAAAGCCACCATTATCTAAAGTACACAGTTGACCATCGCGTCTACTTGTGTTAGGAGTATGCATTGAGAAATTTTTAACTTTTATAAAGTAACGTAGGTCTGGCGGCCACAGGCTCTTAGATTAATAAGATAAAAGTATAGAAAAGTTCGGTTTAGAAAAGACATGCATAGAACCATATTATTACAGGTCCGATCTCAACTTTTTATGCAACCCGAACCCCTCCTGCCTCAGATAAAAAAATGGAAAACATCTAATTAAATCTATAAAATTTTATAATCAAACCTATAAGAATTTATAATCATCTAATTAAACCTATAAGAACTTAAAAGATAAATATAGAAAAACATTAAAAAAAAATCAAAACAATTATTAACAATTGCCATCGTTGTGGTAAGCATAATGTCACAAACCAATTAACATAATACAACAAAATTACTCACTTCATTAGACATAAAGTAAAACTATAAAGCAGAAGTATTACAACAAACAACATTTGAGAGGACATATTACTACTCAGCCAAATACCCTAACTTGTTCCATTTTAAACAAAGTGCGCTGGTATACTTTTAAGAAAGTTAACAAAACGCGTTGCGCAAGAAGTAACGTTATGAGACGAAAGCTTATAAGTGACATTATTCTTAAGAATTAAAGTACGAATTTAAGGCAATCAAACACACAATAAAATAAAAAAATATTTAAGATAAAAGTCTTACCATATTATTGAATAAGTCTTATAATTTTGCGCAATGCCAATGAGCAGTTTATAGGGCGCATGAAAGTTGCAAAATTGTACACAGGTGTTGTATGACATATTTTGCGGTTAATCAATGTCCTTCAAGCTAAGCCTCATTAAATAATGATGCTATTCGTCAGAGAAAGTGTTAATTGATTGGAAGATAAAAGTGTTAAGTGATTAGTTAGTAATGTTGTGTTTGGACAGCATAAAATAAAAAAATATATAAAACATTCTGAAGTGTAGAGTTGTTAACAAGGCCAAAAATAGCAAGGCCACACGTTACAAGGCCAAGGGCAAGAGTTTTAAGGTTAAGGACAAGATTAAGAGTTTCAAGGCCAAGGTCTATGTGAACATTTTCAAGACCAAACACTTCAATTATTGCCTTACGTTCATGCCAATTATTAACAAAACTATAAGTAGCGAGTGCCCGTGACAATAAAACCACATTTTGTAAAAATAGACCAAAATTATTTGCAGAATTTAATAAAATCAATAAGAAAGTATATATATATATATATATATATATATATATATATATATATATATATATATATATATATATATATATATATATATATATATATATATATATATATATATATATATATATATATATATATATATATATATATATATATATATATATATATATATATATATATATATATATATATATATATATATATATATATATATATATATATATATATATATATATATATATATATATATATATATATATATATATATATATATATATATATATATTTTAAGGCCAAGACCAAAACACTCAAGGCCAATGCCAAAATTTTCAAGGCCAAGATCAAAGCCTAGGCCAACAGTTTCAAGGCGAAGGCCTCAATACTTGGCCTTATGGTTATTATGGTAAGCAGTTAAGGCAACTGGGAACATTTTAATTTTTGGTACGGTTTATAGGGTGGGCAAATCTTGAAGATAGAGGTAAAAACATTGAGATAAGGTCACCACACCAGCTAACAAAGGGTCAGTCGGAAAACCAACCTCCTCAAATCGTTGACTTAATGGCAACAAAGGCTTCTTTGCTAATACCTTCACCGCGCAAGACTATTAAAAAATAGCCAAGGAGAAAGCCCAGTAACATTCAGGAACATAATAAAACAGACTTGCGAGACGGAAAGCAACAAAAAAAGATTCCCGAGTCCGCCAATAAAGGGGCAGCCGAAAACCGACCTCTTCAAAACATTAACTTATTAGTAACAAAGTGTCATTACAGATCAACCTCACTCTCTCCGTTTCATCAAGTATTTTCATAAAACTTAAATATTTAAAATTCAAAACATAATGAGCATAAAACTAAAATAATTTAAAGTATATATTTGTTGTGATAATGCTTCTATCGTAAATACCAGCCAACTAATGTTTTTTTTTTTATTAATGGACTGCGTCCAAATCAGTCTCAAAAAAGTCGCATTCATAAGCATTGCACAGAAACCAAGACAGATGGTAATTTACCCTATAGAAAATTTTAAAAGCTATTCCAGTGAGCAGTCGTTAAATACTATTCCGCGGTGCTCTGTGAATACGTCTGTATAAAAACCTAGATAAGTAATAAAATGGTTGAACTTGCCCCAGATGCGCTTTAAAGCGTTTTCATTAAAGTATGATGGAAGCGAGCGCGAACGCAGGCTTCCGCTACCAGAAATTATACTGTCGAGTTACCGACGTTAGCGGTAATCGCAGAGGTCAGCCTAGTCGAAGTGCAATGAATAAGCCTCACTCTGGAAGAAGCCGCTTCGTGATCCGACTTAACTTCCCAGTCAGGTAAGTATACAATTTGGATTTATTAAAACGACCGAGCTTTTTACGGTCATTTTTGATTGTGGTGTTATATTAAAAAATAAACAAGTTTAAAATCTTATAACAGTTTGATAAGTCAAAAAAGCAAAATAAAATTAGTTTAATGTTGTATTTGTTAATATTTTGTTTACCTTATCTAAATAGCAACAAAAATTATTTAAAAAAATAAAAATAGAATACAACGTTAATTAGCATAAAATAATCTACAAAATTAAGTTTATTTAAATTAAATTATGAATAAGGTTGATGTTGTTTTCTAAAGCGTTATAAGCAACAGATATATATATTTGTGTATCTAACAATAAACTCTTGCAGCTTAGGGTTGTTAAAAGCATCTATAGTATTTTAGGTTACTTTTGATATTTTCCTTTGATGTGTTCAAATGTTCAAAGAGAAATTAGCATTGCTTAGATATCAACTCATGTAGCTCTAATTTGTACATTTGATGTTTTACAATGCTGAAGTTCTTTTGGCTCTTAAAACTCAAATAGAGCCTGCAGAATCTGTATCTTTGTTTCGACTAGCACCTCTTTATCCTCCAAGGACAACACGTAAAGTTGGGAAATTATGTACCAGGTATGATGTTCTATGCTCAGAAACAAAGCGTTTTCATCAATTAATGGCGTTTCTCAAAGTATAGGCTGTCTAAAATTCTTTTGAATCATTGTAAGCAATCTGGAACCCTTAACAATTTTTCATAAATCATGAAGCATTGAAATTATAATGAACTGACTTGCATCTTTTTGCTGAAAGCAGAGGAACTTGCAGAATTATTTCCTATAATGATAATGATTAAATATTATATAAAAAGTAAGTCTTCTGAAACAATTAATTTGTTGAAAAAAGATATTAAAACATATTGTGCTGGTGAAGAGCTAATTGCTCTTTGTTGTTTGTAATTATGGGTTTGTTAAAGTGGGTTTGTTTAATTTTGCTGTTCATCTCTTTTTATTATGTTTATTTGTGATTATGATAGCGAAAAAAAATTTGCTAAATTTTTCTAAAATAAAGTTGCAAATTTTTAAATGACATTTATCTGACATAAAAAGATATTCAGTAGTTTCTGATTTATGTGTATTTTTTACAGTTTTTGAAGATAATTAGTCATTGCGAGAAGTTTTCAAAGATATTTAACTCATTTAAAACACTACTGATTGTATTAGTAACGACAAAGGTGAATTTATTATATCAGTAGATTAGACAGATGATAAAGTTGAACAACTAAAAGAAGAGGTATTTTAGTTGCTTTATACACATAAACATACATATTCATGTTGTTTAATTGTGTAAACTTTTCTCACATAGTTGCTTCAACACAATGAATATAATATTTTGATGAATATAAATTTTTTTTTTGTATATTTTACTTTGTTGCAAAATAATTTTGATTTGATTGAACTGAATTTATATAACAATATATTTGATTGAGTTTTTGCTTTTATTTGTAGTAGGATGTATTTGATGTTGCATCTGTTTTGTGGACCTTTTGATTTAATGCACCTAGTAAGAAGACTGTTTCCTGTGATGAATTTAATCTACGAATCTTTCAATCTGTGAATGTAGTGTAAGATTATTTTTGATGTAAAAGACCATTTTGATGTATATAAACTCTTGTTTCTAATAATTAGTTTCAGTTTAGTTCTAGAGTAAAACAAGTTTCTTAATAGTAGTAAAGTTAATTTCCTAACCAATAAAATACATTATTATATGATGATAATCTGACAGTTTTCACTTCTTTAATGGCTGGGTGGGTAGGGGAGAAGTGGGGCATTGAAAATATTACAAGAATAATTTGATATCTTTTTTTATAAAATGTATGTGCTGAACCAAACAAGTTTTAACAAATAAATTATCATTCAGGCACAGGTTCTATCGCTTAAGATAGTCAGCAGGTTATAATAAAGTATATATTCTTTTAATTTTTGAGGAACCGTGCCATTGATGTAAAGTGGGACATGTGTGAGGTAAAGTGGGACTAGCAAGTAATTAAAAATATATTGACAAAAATTATGGTTTAAAAACTATTAATATCGTAAACCACATAATCCCTAAATTAGCATCTGCTAAGGTTTCTTTTCTTTATTGTGCTAGTCATTTTCTTATTCACAGTTCCATTTTCTACCTCTACAACTCTCTTATTCGCCCCACTATGTAATATTCTTGTCATATTTTGGCTCCTTCTTCTAATTATGCTATTTCTCTTCTAGACAAGGTCCAAAAACAAATTTTTAAGGTAGCTGGACCCACTCTATCTGCCAAACTTGAACTTCTCTCCCATTGTCATAAGGTTTTCTCTTTTCTACAAATACTATCATAATAATTGCTTTTACTGTATCTGTCCCTACATGTTCTAAAAACTTTTGTTTATTTAGTTTTTTTCTACTAACTTTAACCGTTTAGAACTCTTTGCTGCCTTCATGTTTTCCTGACTCATACAACCTTCAATGTTTCAAATCTTTTGTCAACTGTTTTCTTGCTTTTTAACTCTTTGTTTTCTAGTAACTCTCAACTTAATAGTGGTTGTTTGCAGCCTTGTTTGGACTGAATCAGAATAAAAAAATAAATTAAAAAAAATTAAATTTCTTTGTCCCACTTCACCCTTCAAAAAATCGTTTTAGGAGTACTTTTCAAAACTACCCTCTAAAAAGTTGAGTTATTTACCACACACAGGAAGACAAAACAGTTTCTGCTAAATAGAGGGGAAGATAACAAAGACTACAGACTTCTCCTAATTGAATTTTTTTGAAATGTACCATTTCTCCCCATTTTCTCCTATCTGTATCTTTTTCGACTTGCATTCTTGAGTTTTTTCATAAATTAAATACATCTACACTGTTACTTTGATATCTTATACCATGTTATTCCTTTCAAAATGTGCAATCTTTGTATTGAGAAATCATAGATAAAAAAACAGGACTTGTGTACATTTTTAGGTGTAGTTCTCGACACAATTCTTTCCTGGAGAGTTTTCCACTTAAGTATAAATGAGAATAAAATATCCAAACAGCGTATTCGATAAAGCCAAACTGTTGTTTAACAAAAAATGTTTAAAAAAACTTATAATTTTTTTTTTTTTTTTTTTTTTTATTTACTTGTGCCTACCTATATAAAAAAAACTCAGTGGACATGCTGTAAAAGTCATTTCGAATGTAAATCATTAAAGACCCTCAAAAGCTCTATTTAGTAAACTAAATATCAATATTTTTCAACCAAAGATTTAATATATACTCATTTTAATGTACGAACTTGATTAAAAAATAACGCCTTTGATATTCTTTTATTAATTTTTTTTTCTTTTTAATAACTCTTTCAGCTATTTCGCTTTTTATATTTTGAGGTTTTAAATTTTGTAAGTACTTGTTTTTTCTTTTATATATTTCAAGTAATTTTGTCAGAAGAAAAGAAAGGTTTTTTTATTTTAAAAAGAAAGGTTTTTTTATTTTGAAAAGAAAGGTTTTTTAATTTTGAAAAGAAAAGTTTTTTTTATCTAAAATATTGTAATTATTTGTATATCTTGTTATTGTAACAAACGGCTAAACTTTTTTATATATAAACACTTGGGTTTGAAATTTTATGTTAATCTTTTTTTTTTTTTTTTTTTTTTGATTTGATTTACACTTGTTATATTTTTGTATTTACTAGTAATATGCATTATAGACTGCTACTAACCATATTCAACTAGATTGGAACGACTAATAGACATCGTAATCCTATTCAGATTGAATATGTAATAAAAAGTGACATTCGGACAGAAGTCGATTAGATGATTTTCTCGTAATTGGTAGTTGAAATTATATTTTTCTTTTCTTTTCTGGGATTATACGTTTTAGTTTATGTATATTTATAATAGCACTTTAGTACTAAAATTGAAACATGAAAAACCTAATTTTATTTATCTTGTATATATTAATAATTGTTCAATCGTTAAATTCGTGCAAAATGTTTTGTCTCCTTCAAGACCGGTAGAAACATAGAAACGCTCAAAAGCTCAAAAAAAATTTTTAAATCTTTAAATAGTTAACACAGTGATAAAAAAAAAAGCTTTAATATTTTTAAAATCGACTGTCAAGGTATTTTTTGAAAATGCGTGTGCATGCACAAACATTTACCTTGGTCATCAAGTTCTTAGTCTGCTACTACATAACTAATTCGAAGTTATCTAAAAAGTTACTTGCAACGTTAACGACTATAGATTTAATAAGCTGACAGCGTCATTATTACAATAAGTATAATAATTTTCACGAATTTTTATATAAGGAATCAAAGACAAGCCTCAGAGATCATTCATAATATATATATAGACTTACAAAAATAGTATCATATTTTAATCTTACACTCTTAAAATAGTTCAGGTAAACTCCGTCCGGAGTGGTTCAGTTAGAAAAATTTACATGAACATTCAGGCAATTAAATTCAAACATTCAGGCAAATTACCGTAACAGTTCTAGTATTTTAGAAAACCGCCTGAACACCTTGAGCAAAGTTACTGAAAAAGTCAGGCAAATGTAGTTGCGTGAACTTTTTTACATGAACGTTCAGGTGCTTTACCGGAAACATCAAGTAAATTGCTTGAAAATGTAAAAATATTTTTCTGCGCAAACGTCAATTGCCATTAAACTTTTTAGAGGTTGCATGTGCTTACATTCTCTTATTTTAAAATTTTTTATTAAAAATAAGTAAAAAATTTTTCTGATTCAAAGTTAGCTGATTATTTATTATCAAAAGGAATATCTATAGATGCTGCAAAAAAGCTTAAAAGTAAGCTACCTTTTCATCTTTTTCGCGTACGTACGTAAAAGACTTATTTACGTACACATCTCTTTTAAAGAGATGTGTATATCATATACGCATATAGATGCCACATCTTGTGAACAAGAGATATCTCTTGTTAACAAGACAGTATACGTATTTGAATTGTATACATGAATGTATGAGTGTATACAATCATACATACATGTATATAATTCAAATACGTATACTGACTTGTATATATCTGATATATGTTGACCTCTTTATATCTATATAGATATAAAGAAGTTAAGATATATGTATATATAGCAATACTATAGTGTATATATATATATATATATATATATATATATATATATATATATATATATATATATATATATATATATATATATATATATATATATATATATATATTTTATATTTGCATTCACTACCAACAAGGCTGCAAGCAACCACTATTAAGTTGGGAGTTACTAGGAAAAAAAAGAACAGAGTTATAGAGCAAGGAAACGGTTGACAGAAGACTTGAAAAGTTGAAGGTTGTATGAGTCAGGAAAACATGAAGATGGGAGAGAGTTCCAAAGGATTGAAGTGTGGGGAAAAAAACTAGATGAATAAAAGTTTTTAGAGCATGCAGGGACAGATACAGTAAACGAATGAGACTTAGCTGAATGACGAGTAAAACGAGAATGAATTTTAGTTGATGGTACTAGAGATGATAACTCCTGTGAGCAGTGACCATGATAGTATTTGTAGAAAAGAGAAAGAGATGCAACTTTACGACGATGGGAAAGAGGCTCAAGCTTAGCAGATAGTCCAGGTCCAACAACATTTACAATGCGTTTTTGGACCTTGTCAAGAAGAGAAAGTGAATCGTTAGAAGAACCAGCCCAAATATGACAACAGTATTCCATACAGGGACGAATAAGAAATTTTTAGAGGTAGAGAATGGAATCAGAAGTAAGGAAATGGCGAGCACGATAAAGAGAAGCAACCTTAGCAGAAGCTAATTTAGCAATCGATTGTATATATGGTTTACATGAAAGATCAGTAGTAAGCGATAATCCAAGAAGACGTAAAGAGGAGGACTCAGGAAGAGGATTGCCATTCATTAATATAGAAATGTTGACCATATTACAGTAGTTGTTAGCAGTAAACAACAGGGTTTTGTTAGAGTTGAAATTCACAAGCCACTGTGAATCCCAATCTATTACTGAAGTGAGATCGGATTCAAGATCAGCTGCTTGTTCTAGGCGATCGAAAAGAGAAGACTTTTTGTCAAGACAGGAGTACAAAGTTGAGTCATCAGCAAAAAGAGCTACTTTAGATGAAAGATAGTCAGAAAGATCGTTTATGTAGATAAGAAACAAAACAGGGCCCAGGATGGAACCTTGCGGAACCCCAGAAGTTACTGGAAATAAAGAAGAGCGTTGGACTTCAAGGATGACCTTAATAAACCAGTTAGAAAGAAATGATTTAATAATCTCAAAAGTTAAAATTATTTTTTATTTTGTTAATTTTTATTTTGTTATTTTTTATTTTGTTTATTGTGTTATAACAGAATTTGCGACCCGTTTCGAACAGACTGAAACCTTTAAGCATTAAGTAAATGTAGAAAAATTAATTTTAACTTTTGAGATTATTAAAATTATTCATTGAAAACTATAAATATAAAATAAATAACAATTAGATTAAGAAATACTTCAAGAACAATAATCATGTTAAGAGCAACTGATAAACTTTCTCAAAATATTTTGTTTATTGGGTTTTATATTTTAACTAAGTAAATATGACAATGAATAAAAATTGTTGCGTTGGTTAAATGAATCTTTTTAGTAAAAGATAATTATGTTTAATAAATGCTCATTTGTTGATTATACATCTTATTAAGTAAAGTAGTGTCAGTTTATTGTTTTCGAAATGTGATGATTTGAAAAAGATATCTTTCTTATCTAATCTAACCGATATTTTATATATGGCTTATACACAAATATAACACATATCTTCGATATGGGAGTAGTAAATATAACACATGTTTTAGACTTGTCAGTAGAAACTTTGTTACTTTCAAAACTGACAAGAAATAAAAGAAGAAAATTTTCAAAAAAAAAATTTAGTAAATATAAATCCAAATAATTAATAAAATATTAATCCAACTCAAACTGGTTAAGAAGGAGAAAAAAATGTTTCATTTTTCTTTTTGTCTTTTTTTAAATGTAACAATGGAATTGCGGGCTCTTTTTTTTTTAAATTTATTTAGGTGCCCCCAAGAAGTTCTTACGGTATTATCACAGAGCACCGCGGATGAGCATTTAATAGAAAATTCACGCATCCTTTTTAACCGATGTCGCAGAGTGTGGGGTTTGAACAACGGATGAGTGTTCAAACCCCACACTCTTTAACCGATGTCGCAGAGTGTGGGGTTTGAACCCCACCAGAGCACAGTGGGATAAAATCGCGTTTTTTGTGCCAAAATTATTTTTAATTTTTTTCATTAGAACTTTTATAAACTAATTATACAAACCATATAAAATGAATATCAAGCTCATATATATTGCTAAAAAAGTTTATTTTTTAGTTTAATTACCATTAAAAATTACGAACTAGATCTATATTCTAGAATTCTCGCAATAAAAAGTTCAACAACACCCGAAGAAAATTTCTTTTTTACAGATGAAACAGTTTTTCTATAAGATGAAATAACTGGATCAGATGTACATAAAAGCCTTTTCATTACATCTTCGTTTGTCTTTGTTCTTAAATTTTTACGGGAATGATGTTCCCTATATTTTCTAAGTTCTTTATTTATAGCTTCTTGAGCTTCTTCACTAAATAGACCTATTGGTAAGAATAGATTTTCTATTACTTCTGCTCCATGAATTAAGATCTTGTGAAGACTCTGAGGCATGTAATACCAATGGTACAAGCATGAGTAGAGTTTTGCGGTCTCCAGACAAAGTAAACGGAAACTTACTAGTATCTATTTAAAATCTACTTGATATACAAATTAGGATTATAAGCAACTTTACAATTAGTTCCTTGTTTATTCCTGTAATATCATCAAACAAGTCTTCATTTGAAAAAGTTTTTCGAGCAGTATTGCCGTCATTTGAGTTTCCAGATCCTCCACATTTTGGGTAGTCAACAATAAGTCCCATTTTGTGTTGAAATTCTTTTTGTATCTTCATTTTTTGCTCTTTAACTAGAGATTTCTCTACGTTTCTTTTTTTGCTTGCCATTTTTTTATTGGTATCTTATATGAAATATGTATGAGACACTCAAAAAATCTTATCCATGCATAAAGTGTAGATAATCCATATTGAAGCTCATCCGGTGAGTATGGAAGTTTCGTAACTTTGTCAGTATTGTTCATGTCTTTTGGTGAACACTCGCATATACAGCAACATTGACAAGAGCTTGTTACATTTGATAGAGCAGTATGGACTATACCATCTATCATTGTAACTTGAATGATATGTTTGACTGAAATAGACTTGCCATTAGATAACTGAACAAAAGTTTCTACAAGATTTTAGATCTCGTCTTTCAAAGTAGCTTCTTCAATAAGTAATAAATCAGTTGTTTCTTTTTCAAATTTAAATCTTAAAGGTCGACAATATAAAGTGGAAGAAGGTTTTGGATTTCCCCAAATGACAGTTAGGGTTTCTCTAACATAAGTTGTAATCTGAAGTGGAACCAGGCAAGTTAGAAACAATGATTCTTCTCTTTTCAAGTCGCGAAAACTTTCAACAGACATTTTTTGTTTATACATGCTTTGACCAGTAGACCCATCAAAACCTGCTTTACAATGAAAAGATACCAGGTCAAACGTTTCTAGCATACATAAAACCTCATTTTGAACTTGACAAAGTCTTTGAGCTGTATGGTCACATAAACTTTGCAGTGGTATACTTGCAGTATAGTCAGTAAAAATCATGTTATTAGGGTAGCACAAAAGTTTTGATGATTTTATATTGTTATATGCAGGATACAGGTTGTATTCTTTTTCAATTGCTGCATTTCTATGGAGTATCAGCGACAATGCTTCATTTCCAGAAAGCATCGAAGAATCTACATTCTTATCTAAATATATTTTGTTGATTGCTTTAGCTTTTTCGATTTTTCCTTCTTTATTTAAT